CTCAAAAGCCTGAATTTTGCCTGAAACTCTCAGACTGAAGAAGTCTCTTGGAGGAGAGACGAAACGTTTCATTAGAGAAGAACCCGTCCAGAAGACCGACACAATTTTTTTCTTTTTGATTTTTTTACCTGGATTACTGAGATGCATCAGGACATTATGTCAACTAGTTCCACCAAACCAAGTTGAGTAAATGTAAAGCAGTTCATACATTTGCTTCAAAAGAAAATGTGTAAATTGTTCAATTTATTTGGTTAAGCAAATTCAACACTTTATTTCTTAGAGTGTATGTTAAAGGTGTTTACTTTCCTAATTATTGTGAGCAGTTTTATGATTTTACTTACTTTTCTTATCAGTGAAATTATTATATAAATAATAAATTTGTTACCAGTCATTTTTGCTTATTTATTTTAAGTACTTTATATACTTTGTTCAAATGTGCATATGACAAATTTGTTGTGTGACCACAGCTTTCTTTAAGGACTCAACTCAAGTGTTTTTATTTAATATAATGAAGACAGTGGAGTACTGTCAATGATTTACAGCAGACCCTGACTTTTATCGGCAGAAAAGACTCGAGGAGGTCCTGAGCAGTGGTCGTTTCTTCAAGAAGGACTTTGCCGTCGTTCTCCAGCCTTTTCTGATGCACACAAGCGTTCCACGTAAACCGGTAATCTTCTTTAATTGCAAAAGCCATAAACATACCAAGAATTCCAGTGCTGCTCCATATGGTGTGCCACATCTAAAATAAAATGCTAAAAAATGTCACTAACACATTTTCATTATTTAGGGACCTTTTGCGGTGTCTGAAATACATTTGTACATCTATTATAAGGCCCAAGCTTTAGATTTAGGATTGAAGATGTAGGCCTACACATAACATTTAGTAAAAAAAATTGCAAAATGTAAAAACAGTGAGTTAAACAACTATCAAATGTTAGGGGATTTTTTTCTAGGATTTTATACTCAAAGTTGGCTAAATAATGAAATGTGTTATTATACACTTGGTGCCACATAGAGGCAATCATCGTAATTCTTATTATGACGTTTAACCTTTGATTTTGCTGACTTGGTGACAAACATCTAAAACATTAATATACCAGATTTATTACTAAATCTATACATTTCATTTCCTTAAACAGAATGGGAAAGTTGATTTGACCTACTTCAGTCTCGACTGTTTCCACCTCTCTGTGAAGGGTCACGAGGAGCTGGCTAAAGGACTGTGGAACAACATGGTGAGACATTAATACACTGAAAAACAGACACAAATATGTAAAATGGACTTTTTATACTTGTTTTCTGCTCCCAGTTTGAACCAGTGGGACAAAAGACAACCGTGAGAAGTTATCCCACCCGTCTCCGCTGTCCACCTGCAGTAAGTCTCTGAATGGCTTTGCTAAGTTGTTACATTGGAGCAAAACATAGATGTTAAAAGATTGTGTCAACTATTAACATGCAATTAAGYGGCTACTTTGCTACTGACACAAAATTTTACCCTGAATCATTGTAACACGATGTTCCCATTCAGGATGAGTTGTAATATGACATTTAGGCATATGTACTATGACTGTGGTTACAATATTCTAAATGTTTAGACAAGTTAAAAATATTTAGGAGGGTTGATTAAATTTACTATAGTTTTTGTTTTCTTTTATTCAACGGTGTGGTGTCCCTTTGAACATGTAACTCACATAGAACAAGTGCCGGCTGTACTCACCAGGAGTCCAGGACCTACTTTTCTTATCTGAAACAAAGTGATATCCTGACAGATGTGTTCTTGGTACCAGGCCTCCTTGGAAGGATGATTAATATTGTGATTGAAGCAAATCTGTAGCCTTTAGTCTTGGACATCCGGGTGAAAACAAGGGCAGAGTTCTCAACTCATCACCATTTGATGGTTACCTGAATGTGGTGTTGGAGAAGATGGTAACAGGAACTGTGTAGGAAGGAAATGGCCATTCTAGGCCTCCACTGGAGACGCAGCTGTGTCCTGAAGGCTGATTGGGCTCGTGTGACCTGGGAACATCTTGTGATTCTCCCAGAAGTTGGTGGAGCATGTCGCTGGAGAAAGGGATGTCTGAGTTCCTCTCCTCCGTGTCTGCAGGGGTGGGCAATCCTGGTCCTGGAGGGCCGCAGCCCTGCATGTTTTACTTTTTTCTCTGCTCCAACACACCTGATTTGAATGAATATACAGTATGTTTGTCAGGCTTCAGCAGTACGGAGGACCAAAACTGACATAATTAGAAATAAAAACAGAATTATATAAATGAACTATTAAATAAATACACTTAAAGGCAC